CATTCCAGAAGTCTGTCGAACAAGCCCCTCTTCACATGGGACTTGATTGCTATTGCCAGGGGAAACTTGAGAAAAAGCAGAACCGAGGTCAGAACCAACCGAGGTCAAAGGTGACAGAAATAAAGTGCTTGTAACCCGTTTGGCACAAAGGCATTACTCCTACCCCAGTCCTTTCCAAGAGACAGCTGCCAGTGGCATGAGGCCTTCTCACAAGCACACAAACCAGCAAAACTTAAAGCAAATTGTATTGGAACCACTCCAGCACGTGGTAAAATAATCAAATCTGTCTTCTGGTGCCCCATTGATTGTGTTTTATTTTAGTTACAGAAGCCTAGTAAACTCTTATTTTACCTAATGCATTTCTACTGCTTTAAGAGAAAAGAGCATGCACTGACTCCTTGGGCTCGTTAGGAGTGAAGACCAGTGGGTCACATGTTGGAAGCATGAAAGCGGGTAACGGTCTCTGCCAGCACACGTTCCCCACTTGGCCTGTTGTTGGGGAGGACGATAGCAGCTGGACACATACTCACTTGTTCTTCTTCAGATAAAGCACAGCCACCTTCCCATCCACTGTCATTTTGTACTTTAGCTCAGTTTCAAAGGTGTCCTGCAGAAATACACCAAGATTTACTTAAAGTGGCAATTTCTATGGACTTAATCCTCAGCAAGTAATGCTTGCTTTTCTCTAGCAGCAGACACTGAGACCGGCTGTCTTTCTAGACCAGCAGTTCTCAACCTGTAGGTCATGACCCCTTTGAGGGGGATCACATATCAGATATCCTGCATATCAGATTTTTACATCATGATTCATAACAGTAGCAAAATTACAACTAGGAAGTAGTAATGAAAATAATTTCATGGTTGGGGTCACCACAACACGAGGAACTATATTAAAGGGTCACAGCATTAGGAAGGTTGAAAACCACTGGCCTTTACCCTGTGCAACAGATCAATTCATCAACTAAATAGACATATTAGTTCTGTGGGGTGTGTGTGTGTGTGTGTGTGTGTGTGTGTACGTGAGCGTGTGTGTATGTGTACTGGGAATTGACCCCAGGGTCTTGAAAATGCTGGCTAACTATTATTAATATTGGCCAATATTAACCATAGAGGTTTTGGAGGACTAGGGACAAGATAGGAGACAGGAAATAGTAGTGTGAGGCAGAGAGAGGATCTCAGCCCTTTTGGATGGGGGACTAGAAGAAATAGGAGGTCACTGGTGGATTTGCCACCGCTTCTCCGATCATCCAGGATCTTACCCTGATATCTGACTCCTGATTCTTTATTGATAAATAATAACTAGATAAACACTTCAAATATTTACATCCCAGAGCATAGGTTGGGAGATGGAATGAGGGAGACTGGGAGAGTAGGGATATGCCAAAGATATAGAAAGTAGCTTTAACTAGGGCCAGCTTAGTGGGTGGCTTAGTGAATGGAGGTACTTGTCTGACAAGCTGAGCTCTATCACAAGAATCCATGTGGTTGAAAGCATGAAACAGCTCCTGCCTTTCGACTCTGAGTTCCACATAAGCATCATGCCATGAAGACCCCACACACATTTGCACTTACATACATATACACATTCACTACATAGATAGATAGATAGATAGATAGATAGATAGATAGATAGATAGAATGAAAAAATTTAAGCTACCCAAGTGGATAGCATCAAACTAGAAGGGAAGGCTGCATTTACTCTCATTGACAGACAGACAGACACACACACACACACACACACACACACACACACACACACACACGTCCAATAGGTGCACACTGCCCATATTTGTAAAATGAGCATTTTTAGATTCAAGAACCAAATTGTGTAAGACAATCCATGAAGTGTGATTTCAGGAAATGATTCTGTTCATCTGCACATAAATATGCCACAATAGCTTTACAGAAAACATAAGGTGATCAAGAGGGAGAGGGAGGGAGACAGAAATACAGGTGTGTGTGGGTATGTGTGTGTATGTGTGTGTGTGTGTAAACATTTAAAGTAGCAGAGAATCCATAAGAACGAGTCAGAAATAGACATTGGTGAGGAGAGAAAAAGACACCACCAACAGACTATCAAATAGCCGATGTTGCAAAGAAGAAATGAAATAAGCCCATTCACAGAAAGCAGGAACCCCATGAAAATGAGTCATAAGGCATGTGACACAATGGCACCACAGGCAGAGGCAGCATAGCCTTGAACATGGAGCACTTATTTTCAGCCTACTTCTCTTTGCATAGTTAAATCTGCCCTCTTCCATACATTATACAAATCACCATTATTATATGCACTTGAAGGCAAAGGAATATTTAAAGCTAGAGCTTTCAACAGGAGAATTACCAAAGCTAAATGTGAACACACATTCACCCTTTCCATTAGGTCACCAGTTATCAGGTAAATGTAAGTTGAGTGTGGCTGTGTAGAGGTAACCTAGACAAGCAATGCATCTGCAGTAAAACCAAGCATACCACATCAAACACATCCCTCTGCAAAATCACTCTAAAAATCAATATTGTGAGGCTGGAGAAATAGCTTGTTCCTTTAGAGCACTTGCTGCTCTTTCAAAGGACTCTAGTTGGGCTCCTAACACCCAAGAAGTGTGGCTCACAAGCATCTGTAACTCCATCTCCAAGGAATCTGATGGCCACTTTTGGCCTTTACAGGTAACTACTTGCACATGTACATACATACACACAGACACATGACACATACACATAACTAATTTTAGAACTAATTGACCATCTACCATAGCCAGTAACTAATCTATGGTTTCATACCAAATTGCAATTTTCAAATAAAAGTTTGACTTGTAAGGAAATCACTTCATAGCTGTGATAAAGTCACTTTACCTGTATTTAAATTTTCCTCAAAACACTCAGAAAAAAATGTAGCTGATGTTTTTGATACTGAAAGAAATTATTTAAAGAAAAATTTCTTGAAGAAGACTCTGGTACAGGTGGATTCCATCAGAGTTAGTGGGATAGTTTCCTGGTAAAGCTATTTTGAGAAACAGACTTGTTGTGACAATTACTTTAACAGTGTAAAGATGTGTTACATTTGTTTATGCTGTGGAATATTACTTTAAGTGTGGAAAGTGTGTTACATTTGTTTCTGCTGCATTTGGTTAATTATGAAAAGAGTGTTGCTGTTTCACTTTGCCTGCCTAAGGCACCTGATTGGTCTGATAAAAAGCTGAATAGCCAATAGCTAGCCAGAGAAAGGATAAGTGAGGCTGGAGGGCAGAGAGAATAAGTAGAAGAAATCTGGACATGAGAGAAAGGGAGAAGGAGGAGGAGGAGGAGGAGGAGGAGGAGGAGG